GGTGAGCCCTGCCAGGGCAACTGGGGCTTGTCTCCATGGCAACCCCACCCTTGAACTCTCACAGCACAGCTGGGGCCAGGGTTGCCATGGAGACCAGCCCCAGCCATGTGGGCAGGGGCTGCTGGGAAATGGAGTCCAGCTGCCCACTGGACAGGCCAGTTTGCCCACCCCTGTAGTAATGCCAGCTTGGTGTGTTTGCAGCCTCCATCAACACAGGCTTGACACTCTTCAGGTCTCTCCACTCCCCAACTACTTTTTTATACCACCCCTAGCTGAACCGGGTGCCCTGCTCACCTCCGAGCTCTCCTCCTGCTTTGGAGGCCTGCCCTGCCCCCTCTGCACTTGGCCCGGCTCAGGTGTCAGGGAGCTCCTCTCCTCCGGTCTCCCTGGGGAAGTCCTCTGCAGCTCCAGGATTACAGGCCGCTCCTTGGGAGGCTGCTGCTCCGCTCTGCTCAGGGTCCCAGCACCTGCGGGTGGGGAAGAGAGTGCACAGGTTAGCCCTGGTGCTGCTGGCACGGGGAAAGCCCTGCTTGTCTCCTGGACTGGCCTGGGACTAAGCATGGTGGAGGCCTCAGAGTGTGAAAGAAGGGGCAGAAGGAAGACTCAACGTCGCACAGCTCTTGCTAACAGACCTCCACGGGCATGAGGCTGGAGATGAACTTCAGGAACTCTGTGCCAGCGTGGGGTGGTGATCACACCACGTCAGAGCCTGCAGGGACATCGCTCCCGGGGACAGAAGCTCGAGGGATGTTGGGGGCTTATCAGCGTGGACATGTTAAGGGAGGGGGAGGGGAAATACAAGGTCAGTCTTCTCCAGGGCGTGTGAAATGTTTCCAAGAGAACTGGGGGAACAAGAACTGCTGATCTGTTAGAGCACTGACCCCACCAAAGCATTGCGGCAGAGATTTCTCCACTGGGGGACGCTGCCTCCTGCTGCAGGAAAGGGTCGAGCCAGCGCTCCTTACCTGCTCCTGGGGAAGGGCCTTGTCTGGGCACCAACCTGAGGAGCTGTTGTCTGCTGACACCTCCCGGGTCCACTTGGTGTCAAGGGAACCTGCAGCCTGGGTTAGCTGCGCCTGACCCAGCCGGAGGCCCCGGGGAGTCTCCTTTCCCGACGCCTGCACGGCCCCTTATTGCACAGAGGGCTCAGGGGGCCGGGGAAGGGGCCAGTGAACACTGACTCTTCAAACGTGAGTGACATCACTGGTTGTTACCATGGCAGCACCACAAGGCCCGAGCAGGATAAAGCCCCTGTGGTGTGTGCAGCGCCCAGCAGAGATCGGTGCCCCCAGGCTGGGAGCTGCCCACACAGGGATCAGCTCTGTCCCAGCCCAGCCACCTCGGTACCAGTCTTGCAGCCGGGTCATGGGCATGCAGCGCCCAGCAGAGATCGGTGCCCCCAGGCTGGGAGCTGCCCACACAGGGATCAGCTCTGTCCCAGCCCAGCCACCTCGGTACCAGTCTTGCAGCCGGGTCATGGGCAGGGGCAGACACGCAAGCATCTCCCCCATGTGCAGGACAGACACTCGGGCACCCAGACCCACGTGCAGGCCTCCGTCCTGGACCTCACCTGGCTCCCGGGGGGGCGGGGCATCCTCTCTGGGGACGTCAGGTGGGTTGTCCCGAGGCCCCAAGATTTCCACGTCTCCCGACTCTTCCAGAGGCCTGTCTGCATGACGGGCGCGTGGCTGCTCCGGCCAGGACTCACCAGGCTCCTGCGGTGCCCCAGTGGGCTGCATCGTGTCTGACCACACGTCCTCGACCTTCACACTCGGCGTGACCTGGGGACGGGATAAATACGTCACCGGGGAGCTGGGATCTGGGAGGGAACATCCCCCAAACACACAGAGACGGGCACAGCAGCATCTGCGATCAGGGTGAAATGCTTTCACATGATGATTTGCATCTTCCGCCTGCCCCACATGAACCCCCTCGGCCAGGGCCACGGCCTGGGCGCAGGTCTCCACGCCGCGCCCCCACTCCCAGCTCCGCGTCTCCCGGGGCAGGATGGCCAGGAACTGCTCCAGCACCACCAGCTCCAGCATCTGCTCCTTGCTGCGGCGCTGGGGCTC